AGTCTCCAGTATTTGGCTATTTGTTTTTTGCGAGAAATTACAAGAGTGAGAAATTTTGAAGAGGTTGCTAGACTGAAGAAGTTGGAGACTTTAGAATGTAACTTTGATGACATACAAGACTTCAATTCTTTTGTCAACAAGTTCAAAGATTTCCAAAGGGCTATTACTTACAGTCTTCTAGTTGGGAGTGCAAAAGACATGCTTAGAAGGAGCAAACATGAGCTTGTAATTACTGATTGCGAGATCGGGGAAGAATGTATAGTGCTTCCAACTAAGCTTGAAGATTTGTGGATAATTAGGCTTAAAAACATGGGAAGCAGCTTAAGCAAAATAGCTCTGTTAGAAAAAGCAAATGAGTTGAGGACGTGCAATATTCGCTTTTGTGAAGAGATAGAGTGTGTGGTTGAGTTGGACTTATCCTCCTCCTCCTCCTCATTGCGTTGTCCTGTATTTGATAAGCTTGAAGAGCTATGGCTTTGGCAATTGCCTAGGTTGTGTGAACTTGTGAGAGTGGAAGGAGAAGCAACACCACCGCACGTCTTTTCCAATCTTAAAAGGCTTGCTATATTGTCATGTTCGGGAATAAGGAAGTTGCTTCCACTTGAGCTACTGCAGACCCTCCAAAACTTAGAGGCGATTACAGTTTCTTTTTGCCATCAAATGGAGGAGATAATAGCATCATTAGATTCGGATGCATCATCATCGGATAAATTCACTTTCACTTTTCCTAAGTTAAGGGAATTGCGCTTGTGGACCTCACCCCAATTGAAGAGCATCTGCAGTGCCAAAGGAGTTATGGTTTGTAATTCTATTGAAACAATTGAAATAGGTGGATGTCCGGAGTTAAAAAGGATCCCTGTGCAACTTCCCCAACTTGATAACGGCCAACCATCTCCTCCTCCTCATCTCAGAGAAATCAAGATACATGAAAGTTCAAAAGAATGGTGGGAATCAGTGGAATGGGATCATCCTAACGCTAAGAACCTCCTTCAACCTTTCTTGAAATATTCTGGATATCCGTGGGATTGAGGGTAAGGTGTTGGTCGATTTATTACTATTTAATTCTAATTTGAATTTGCATTGGTAATATATTACGTAAGTTGCTAAAAATTTGGGAAATAATTTGTGCAGATTGAAGTGAAGAGCTGCAAACTACAAATGTAAAGCCACGTGCCACCTCAATAATACGTGCCAACAAAAGCATTTCCACAGTTCCTTCATTCCTCCCCCAACGAAAACAATTTGGGTATTCTAGAAGAGAAAGAGATGGATGTGTCTGAGATGGAAACCCTAAATGGGTATATTCTAGAAGCCAAAGATATTCCCAGCCTCTGCTCCCTCACAAGCTCCAACTAGTAAGTGTTTAGATTTCACTATCTCTATTTTGACTTATTGTAACTCTATTTAGTTTTTGTGTTTGGATTCATATTTCACTTTTTTCATTTAAAAAGATAAAATTGTGGGTGATAAGATTGTTTAATATCTGTGGTTGGAGGAACATTAATAGTATTTCTTTTTTTATTTGATTTTTTTGATATATTTTTTATTTAACTTTATTTGGACAATCTTTTTTATTTATAATTTTCCTATCATTTGCAATCCTGTGTTATTTTAGTTGCTGAAAGAAACAATTTCTGTAGTTCCAGAGAAATCATCAACTTTCCAAATAAATCACAAGCCACTGACAACATGTTCCTATAAAAGCCCTTACTCAATAACGAAAAGATTGGTTGGAAAATTACGTGCTAAGCTGAAGAATCAGACCTCAAAGAAAGTGTCAAACATCCAAACACTAGGTATTTTGACTTGATTATTCCATTCCACTCTCTTCTTTTTCTTATGCTTCTTAATTTCTACGTATTCATAAGGGTTTTATTGAATTTTTTCTGTTTTATATTTTGTTCTTTTATAATTTGGTTTTGGGGTAAGCTTGGCTGAAAATGAGCCCCTTATAATTGCCAGGTATGCTAGCTCCGGTAAGGCCTCAAGGAGAGGAAGTTTTTAGGTTTCTGGGTATGCTTTTTTTTGTTTGTAATCTAAAATTTTTGTACAAGAGTTTCTGATAAAAATTGGTGTCATTTTCAGGCTACCTACAAAACTTTTTGGTGTCATGATCATGAATTGTGCAAAGAGGTGAATTTTTCCTTTCCAAGAATGCAGTTAAAGTTCACATTCACAAGTCACAAGCATGGAGAAACATACTCATGATTGCAATCTGTTTAGGTTACATGAAGAGTTTGTTTGAAAAACATGGCAGTGGGTTGGGAAAATTATATGCTGTTGTCAGATATTTTGATTTTATTTTTTTGGTAACAGTACATATCTTGGTTAATGATGGTTCTTGTTTACTTCAGGTTATTAAGCTTAAAGTTTTGTACAAGGGGACGTTTTTGAGAAAAATTAGCATAATTTTCTAGCTTCCTACAAGTGGCTGAGTTGCTTCTTTTTGGTGTCATGAAATGTTGCAAAGTGGTGAATACCTTTCCTCTCTAAGAATGTAGTGAAAGTTCACATTCACAAGTCACATGCGTGGCGACACATATTAATGATTTATTATTTGTTTAGGTCACTCACGAAGCTTGTTTGGAAAACATGGCAGTGGGTTGGAAATAGTCTATACCTTGTCTTCCCGGTTGATGAGCAGTCTTCCAAGTTACCATATAAGGCTTCTCAGAGGACTTAAACTCAGGTTAGATTTTCCTTAAAAATGGCATATGGTCTCAATCTCATCATTAACAATTTTCACCTGTTCAGTTAGTAGTTATTTCTTTTACTTCATATGGTGGATTAGCCCCAATCTAAACTTCTAAACCCCATCCCCAAATCCAAATCCAAATCCAAATGTGTTTCAAGAGTACAATGCATCAATTGAGTCCTACTAGGCTCCCTTCATGGTGGAGTCTGATTCATACCTTGAAACATATCATACTATCCTGAGATGGCTAGTGAACCTTGCTGCTATAACCGAACATGGCAGGAGCTAGGAAGGAATTGATGTGTTAGTGTTTGAGAGCTATATCTAATGGATGCACAAGTGTAACAAGCCTCAGATCAATGCTATGTAAGTTTCCAGTTTTCAATCTAATGCTTTCTATTCCATCCAATTTCTTCTACTTTTTGTGAACCTTGCTGCCATAGCCAAACACAACAGGATCTAGGAAGGAGTTGATGTGTTGGTGCTTGGAGCTATGTGTGGTGGATGTACAAGCATATAGAACAAGCTTCATATCAATGTTATGTAAGTTTCTGGTTTTTTTATCTAAGTCCTATTCCATCCAAATTCTTTGGTTTTTGTGCTCTTAGAGCAAGTTTTTTATTTTGAAATCCAACAGGTTAATTTAAGTTCTAACTTTCTTCCTGGGTTTTAGGTTCTTTTTTTTTTTTTTCAAATATGGAACTCCAAGGATTTTTCAAGAATATAATGTGACAACTACTTGTAGAATTAGAAACTTGGGCAAATTGGTTAGAATCCAACATCAGTCCTCTATGTTCCCAACACACATATGTGGTATGTTTCACTTGCTATTTTCTATTAAGAAACAACCCAAATCCCCAAATTATGAAGATGATGATATTATAGGGAGTTATCAAGCTGTTATAAACCCTTTTGATGAAGTGGAAGAAGTTAATCCTTTCTATGTTAATCCTTTATTCTTTTCAAATTTATATGATTTTGATTACTGATCGATGATTGTGAACTTGTAGAACCGTTCAAGGCTTTCACCTCTTCCTCCAGAACCAGTTGCTCTCAACTATGGTTGTGATGCAAATCATGATATCTTTCTTGCCACAGTTACTAGACCCAATTTAAGGTTAGTGTATTATTTAATTCTGTCTCCCTGCATGCCACTTCTTGCTTGTTTTATGAAAGTGAGCAATGATTATGGTTTTCTGATTTACACTGTTCAAATTATCTTAGGAATTGAAGAGGACAAGGAGGGACATTGGCCATGGCAGTTGAACTTAACCAGCAACAGGAGGTATATCAGGGAGATTGAACTTGTGAAACATGCAGACTTTTACAAGTTTCACTCATCTGTTTCTTTTGGGATATACAACACAAGAAGTGAAGCAAGAAAGAAAAGGATTTAGTAAGAGGTAACTTGCAGTTTATGCTATAGTTTGTTGATTACTCATAATATCCACTTAGTAGCTTGTTTCTATTTCCTTTTATGGTCAATTAGCCTTTCATTCATGCCATGACAATCTAGAACTTGCCTTGTGATTTTTTGTTCTGCAGATTGGCCACCATTTGCCCCAGTTGTTCATAATGATATTGCAAATGATATGCTGATTTATTAACAAAAGCTGATGTTTATTGCACTTCCATCATTCTTAGGTATGCAAACTTTTTGCATTTTTACTTTTCATTGTGGTTATTTTAGCCTTGCATTTTGGTAGATTATATTTATCGACTGAATTTATGCAATTGTATACATGATGTTATTTATAGTTATCGATCAATGCCTCTATTGATATATGTTATGATTGGTAAATGTATTTTTTTTCCATATGCAGGATTGGTTCTGTGCTTTTTCTGGAATGGCAGAACTGCTACTGTAGCATGCATCAAAGGGGAAAGATGGAAGCATCATACTGGGGAATGGGATCTCGTGTTCCCATCATGGTGACAGTTCGCAACATCTTACAAGAACTAAAGATCAAACATTACTATTTTGAACAAATACACAATTGTCAAAATATCAAAAACATGTTCATATCTATTTATGTTTTATGGTGAACAAAAGGGAAAAACTCTTGAGAGGAAACAGAGATTTGACCCTAAAGATTTTGCTGATTGTGTTTTCATTGGTTCTTACCGGGACTACCTATTACATGGAATGAGATTATGTAATACATATGCATATTTGTTGAGCAGTTGTAAATATCTTTGTAATCTATCTAAACCTCTTTTTTGGATATCTGATGACACACTTTATAATTGTGTATTCTAAACTCTTTCTGCACACAACTTTTCGTGTTTTCTTTAGGTCATTGCCCTACTTTTTCAAAAAGTCAAAAACTCATAAAGTAATTTATTATTTTAAATAACTAAAGTAATAAAAATTAAAATTTTTTTCTCAAAATTAATGGGGGGAAAAATGTGATTATTCTCATTATAAGAAGTGTTAAAGTTATTAATTTTTATTTTTTATAAATAGTGTTTAAAAATATTAATTTATTAATTAATAAATATTAATTTTTATAT